GCAAACAACGTGTTGGAGGATGGATGGAATAGAGCTTCAACGATCATATCCAAAGGAGGTTGGCGGAATGTCGGTGAAGCCTTGCTATTCAAAGTTCAAGATCCAAGTTCAAGCTTCATCCGCGAGATTACCAAGTCAAGCTTATTGAAGATCAAGATCATTGCTTGGGTAATTTAGTTTAGGAATTTATATTATGTGTGTTAGTACTTTAAGCTCAATCATATACACACATACACGTTTTGGTTTTTGTATATATATAGTTATATATATACATATATGTTTTGGTTTGATAGTTTTCAAGTTTTACTATGAAACTATTGAATATAATTAGAAAACATATTTTTGTTTCATACTCATATGCATATATATGATTTCATCAATATCAATTTTAGTTAGTTAAATGAAATCATGTTTTAGTGCATTATATGTGTATTTTAATAAAATACTACATTCATTATTTATAGACTTCATAACAATAGTTTACATCTTTCTTCAAGTCTATAAAATCATTTTGTAAAGTTTCAAAAGTTGGTTTAGCCAAAATGTCAAAATTCACATGTTTACATTTTCGTGTTTTGGACTATCTTGCAAAATGATGATATTTTTCATTTGGGAAGTCCTTTTTGGAAACCAGTCGTTGTATCATGTTTATTATCATGTCTACAATCATTCTCCAAAGTTTTACATTTTTTGGAATTTATTTGATATTTTTAAACAGTATTTTAAAATCAGCAAAACAGTTTTTGAATATGTCAATTTTTGGTCGACCGAACCGGTCGACCGAACCTAAGTTCTCGTGTTCACTGGGCGACAGAGAGTTCATCGGTCGACCGTCGCGGTCGACCGAGAGCTTCCTTCGGTCGACCGTACCGGTCGACCGGATAAGTCAGGTGGTGTTTAGCTAGAACTACATTGAGTTTATTTTTGATTTATATCTCTTTGTTCACACACAACCTTTTGAGCTTATTGTATTGACATTCATAGTATAATTTGGGGTTGTGGGTTTGTGACTAAGAGTTGTGCTTAATTGAGTTCTCACCTTGTTAGAGAGAACAATCATTTGTTAATTTGTGCTTATCATGAGAATCACTTTGTAATATACTTGTACACCGAGTGAGAAGTGTGTGGTGAGAGTCGGTGATCATCCCAAGAGGAGTGGCGTCGGTTGATGTGCTTAGGGAGAGGTTGTAACCGAGCACTTGAGGGAGACACGGCTAGGTCCAACACTTAGTGGGTGTAGAGTATGATTGCAAGAGTGTGAGTTGTAGAGTTTTCGGTTAGCTAGAAAACCGAGTGTGTAGAAGAAGTTCCGGCTTCCAAACCGGATTGTGTTAGTGGATTTCTCCCCGGGAGTGGGGAGCGGAGACGTAGGACGGAAGGTCCGAACTCCGTGATCATATTGCTTGCTTGAGTGTGCTTTGGCGTTCATTCATATTTATGTTCATATCTTATATCGTCATTGTGCATTGCTCATTTCTATATCATCCACTATCTTGTTTAGATTGTTTACCCTTGTGTTGTTTATATATCCTTGCACATACTTTGCCTATATCTCTTTGTTAGGATATATCTCTTGTTCATATTACTTATCCTAGCTTACATATCTTGTTGTATCTCATACTTGCTAGGATAACTTGTTAATTAATTTTAATTGGTATTTAATCGGATTAGATTAGCATAAGACCCTAATCACCCCCCCCCCTCTAGGGTCTAACAACAGCATTGGGAGACAGTGAAGTGGATATTACGGTACTTGAGAGGGATAACGAATAAGCCACTATGTTTCAGGAGGAAGGAGCCGGTGCTGCAGGGATACTATTGGGTCCATTTGTTTTGATGATGATTTACAAACAATTTATATCTAATGTTGTTTGTCTAGTGTTTGTGTTTTGTATCTATTCTAGGCAAACAATATGTCGGAGGTTGGATGAAATCGAGCATTCACGATCATATCCAATGGAGGTTGGCGAAATAGTGGAGTGAAGCCTTACAATTCAAGTTGAAGATTCAAGTTCAAGTTTTATTTGTAAGTTTACTAAGAAGAGCTTATTGAAGATCAAGATCAAGCTTGGGTAAAATAGTTTAGGTGTTATATTATGTGTGTAGATACTTTAAGCTCAATATCATATACACACACATTTTATTGGTTTATATATATATATATATATATATATATATATCTATTATGTATATTATAGTATATATTATATATATATATATATTATATATATATATATATATATATTGTATATATATATATATGTATTATATATATAATATATTATTATATATATATATATATATAATATATATATATATATATAATACAATATAATATATATATATATATATATATATGTATATATAGTATATAATAGTGTATATAACTAATATATATATATAAGTATTATTATTATATTGTATATAAACATATATATATGTATATAATAATATATTATGTATATAATACATATATATATGTATAATATATACATATATAGTATATATATATATATATATTTATATATATAGTATATATACATTATATATATATATATATATATATATATATATATATATATATATATATATATATATATATATATATATATATATATATATATATATATATATATATATATATATATATATATATTAGTTTTTGGTTTCTATGTATATATATAGTTATATATATACATACATGTTTTGGTTTGGTTTAGCTTTATAGATATGAAACAAATATACATTCATATACATATTTTATGTTTCATATTTATCATTTTGTTAAATGCATATTGTGTAAAACTTTATTTTCATATAATATAGAGTTTTTGGTTTATAGACTTAACAACAATAGTTTGTATCTTTTATCAAGTCTATAAAATCAGTTTATATAGTTTCAAAAGTTGGTTTATGTCCAATGTCAAAAACAAGTGTTTTTCATTTACATGTTTTGGACTAATTTGAAAAATAAAGAGATTTCTCATTTACATGTCAAAAACAAGTGTTTTTTATTTACATGTTTATTATCATGTATATATATATTTCCCAAAGTTTTATATTTTTTCTGATTTTATTTGCTATTTTTAAAAGGAGTTTGAAAATCAGAATTTTGTTTCAAAACAGGCTGATAACATGTTATTAGTCGACTAGTCAGTCGACTGATGACATCAGTCGACTGATGTGTCGACTGAAGAAATCGTCTGGAATGTCAAAATGTTTCTGTTTTGTTTTGGTCGACTGACCAGTCGACTGATGAGGTTATCAGTCGTCTGATAATATCGTTAGTCGACTGATGAGCTAAAAAATGTCTCTAACGGTCAGTTCATCAGTCGACTGATGAAAATCGTCAGTTGACTGATGCTGTAACGGCTAGTTTTTTCCAGCCTGTTCTAGTTTTGGGTTTTTAGTCTTTTTGCTTTGATTTTCTTGTGTCTTGTGGTCTCTATAAATATCCCTCAAACCTCAGACCAAAAATCTATCCAAGAGAATTGTTTAAACAAGTTTAAGGGTGTTTTGTGTTTGTTTAAAAGAGTGTTTACAAGATTTGTTTTGTGAAAAAAATTTCACAAGGGCTTGAGGAGATCATCAATTGTGTTTGGGTATTCAGCGCATCTCTCTCTCTCTTGTCATCATAGAAAAGTTTTTCTAAACTCATTTTAGTTATTTATTGTTTTGTTTATAATTTCCATAAGCTAGATTTATGTTTATTTTATTTAATCTCTTTGTTACACACACACCCACTTGAGCTTATTGTATTTGCATACATATTTGGGGTTGTGGGTTCGTGACTTAGAGTGTGAGCTTTCATTGTGTTCTCATTCATAGTAGAGAACAAACACTTGTATTGAGCTATTATTATGAGGTTCACTTTGTATTATATTAGTACACCGAGAGGAGTGTGTGGTGAGAGACAATGTCGTTCCAAGAGGTTTGGACTAGGTGGTAATGCCTAGAGAGAAGTTGTAATTCCTAACACTTGAGGGAGACACGGGCTAGAGATCAATACTTAAGGTGATAGTTAGTGTGTTTACATTGTGAGTGATTGTAAAGTTTTCGGTGAGCTAGAAAACCGAGTGTGAGGTGTAAACATTATTCGGGTGAGCGTAAAAAACCCAGTTGTGATAGTGGAGATCTTCTCGAGGTGAGGAGCAGATACGTAGGTCGTGAGGACCGAACTCCGTGATCATATCGCTTGTTTGAGTTTGCATTGGCGTACTGATTTTTGTGTTCATCTTATATCGTCTTTGTCAATTGCTCATTGTTTATATTGTCCAGTATCTTGTTTATATTGCTTTGTGTTTATATCACCATTAGTTTCATATCCTTGCATATTAAGTGTTGCATATATAATTTGCTAGGATATATTTGTTAATAGTTTTTAAATTGGCATAAATCGGATTAGATTAACATAAACCCTATTCACCCCCCTCTAGTGTTCTTTCCTAGTGGCATTAGGATACTTTCAGATACGTGGATGCGGACTTCGTTGGTGATCATGATACGAGACGAAGTACCACGGGGTATGTTTATACCTTAGCATTGACAGCAGTGGGCTGGGTCTCACGTCTGTAGAAGATTGTGACTTTATCTACAACCGAGACTGAGTATGTCGCGGTGACTGAAGCAAGCAAGGAGATGATCTGGTTAAACGGGTGCTTGGAAGAGTTGGATCTAAAGCAAGGGAGATGATTTCTTTATTATGATAGCCAGAGCGCTATACATCTTGCCAAGAATCCAGTTTATCATGCCAGAACGAAGCACATCAACGTACGATTCCATTTCATACGCTCGCTGATTGAAGACGGAAAGTTACACTTAATGATGATTTTGAGGAGTCAAAATCCGGCGGACATGTTGAAGAAGACAGTCACCATTGAGAAACTGAAGTTGTGCGTAACTTCAGTTGGCCTTCACGAGTAGAAGATGAAGGCGGAGCCACACTAGAAGGATCAACGAGATCGCCAACAATTTGATTTGATTGTTTCGAATTTGATTGTTTCGAATCCCCAACAATTGGTTGCCAAATATCTCTAGCAAATTGACAGTCTAGAAGAAGATACTTAGAAGGTTAGCAGTATCTATAGTTATACTGAAGAGAAAACAAGAAGAACCTTTTTAATATCTCAAATAAAATCATCTTATATAACCAAAAACATAACCTTGGTAGATAGAAGTATCAATTATATTTAGTGTAGCAAACATGGTCATCTGCTCTTATTAGCATAATCAGATGACTTGTCATTCGCCTACCATGCACATCACTACTGATTATACACTCTCTGTATCCCACTCCTCTGTTTTAGGCGGATACCATTCTTATTCGCGAGGAAGTTGGAGTACCAACGTGCAGAGAGCTTTGGTTGCCTCTTGCGCTCAACATTGCTAAAATCCACGTAGTATAACCCGTAGCTTGATTCATATCCCGTTGCAAGTTCGAAAACATCTAAGAATGACCATACAAAGTATCCTCTCACATTTGATCCATCCCTTCGAGTAAAAAAAAAGAAAGGAAAAAAAGAGGGGAAACAAAAAAAATGAAATTGGTTGATGTGATTTTTTCTTCTCTAAGTGATGCAATATATCAAATAGGTTAAGTTGTCAATTATACCTAATAGCATCTAGCGTGCTTCTTATATATCTGTCCAAGTAGTCAATCCGATCCGTGTCATTGAGGATGTGCTTGACACCCTCATACCCTAACGGAAAAATACATTGTAAACTGTCAAGACAAATTTTTGAGCAATGTTGAAATGAACCCATTACACTAATTCAAGGAAATAGAACCGAGGAGGTTGTAACTGGAGTTTCTAAATTTTCCCAAACAGTAATAACATTCATGGTAGTTACGAAATCCTTAAATGAAGAACAAAACCTAAAAGAAACATGAATTCTACTTGAATGTTTTAAATATTTCCAACAGGCAGTAGAGGATGCACACACCAACAAAATTATGTGCATTTTGATAGAATATAGATCAGTCATACCATTCTCGTAAATGTAAATAGGTGGATTTCCATACTCTTGCTTCAAATATCTCAGTAAATTTCGAAGTCCAGGTGGATAAATGTTTATTCCAGTTGGTAAAATCTGGAACATTAGCAAGCCTTAATTAGTGTGTCATGCCAAGAGATGAAATGGAGAAATAACCACATGACATAAGGTTACGTTTGAACTTTTACCTGGCCAATCGTACCGTTCTTAGAAACTGCAACAAATGACGCTTGGTCAGTAGAGTTAGAGACTGTTATATTTGTCTATGAAAGATAATTGTTCGTCAAGGAAGCGAAATAAACCTATGATTACGAGAGACATATCTGCAGTGAAATCGTGAAGTCCAGATGGACTATTTGAGCTGTCCTTCACATATGCTGATGTATAGTAGTTCAGTCCAATAAAATCAAACGAACCCTTCACCTCTTCTGATCCACCTTTGGTGAAAGATGGGAGCCGCTGACCTGCCTTCTCCCTCATAATCTCGGGGTAATCTCCAAATACTAAGGGGTTAATAACCCTTGAAGAGAGCAGTTCTTTAGTATAGGGGGGCTTAAAAGAGTGGCACTATGCTTTGAAGTTTCTTTTAAGCACTCACCAGCCCATTATAAAATCCGTTGCTCTTTTGGCTGCCTCAACATTGGCAGAGGAATTTGAAATTGGAATGGGCCAAAAGGTATATACATTTAGGCCTATCCACCCCTTTTGAAAAGCCTGCATAGGAAGTTCAACGCTCTTAGAATGTTTGTCTGGCATAACAACAACGACAACAACAACAAAGCACCATATTGACAGAGTTTTTGCTTCTTATAAATATTTGGAAAATTGAAATAGGAAAAAAGGGACACTAGAAGAGTCACTTGATATTTGGTTCTGTATAGTCTGACAACTGCTGCGTGTGCTAGTAGCACATTGTGCATGGCGATGTAAGGCTCCACTGAAGAGTTCCCGGCTGAGCAATTAAATGGCCGAAAAGGAAAAGAACATCGCCGTGGTGGAGTCAATCCAAATTCATAAGAAAGTAGGGTCAGTATATTGGGTTCGTTTATCGTCGTCCAGTGAGAAACCCTGTCGCCGAATTCTCTGAAGCAGACGTCTGCATATTCTTTCATATCCTCTCTGCATCAATTTCTAGAAAATGAGAGAGTCTTCCAGTAAATATTTCAAACATGTGATACATTAGAATCCTATGAAATTACATAATCTTAGGGCTCAGCCAGCCTCCATATTCATCTTCAAGGACCTGGGGAAGTTCTACATGGTGAAGTGTGATATGCGGCTGAATTCCTATTCCACCCAAAAATGATTCATAAGTTAGAACAATAATTAGAGAATAGAGACTATTTAAAATAACTTTGGCATCCATGTTGTAACTAAAAAAATTCATTTTTAAGGATTTTTTATGATAGAGTAACATCAAATGTTTCAGGCTTTTCCAGAGATCAACTTTACATGAAAAGTGTGTGTTTTGAGTAGTTCTCGTCGTCTCATGTCTTTATAGGCATCATGATGCATTCTTTTCATTAAGAATAAGTAGACACATGCATACCACGTTCAATTAGCTCGTTGATAAGGCCGTTATAATACTCTAGGCCTTTTGGATTGACAGCTCCTCTCCCATCTGTAAAACAAACATTCATGATATGCATCTGATATTCCAAATATCTTCTTATTCATTGATATGTTTGAAGACATTGATGTTCCTCACTTGGAAGAAGCCTTGACCAGGAAATGGAAAATCTATAGGCTTCAAGTCCTAGCTCGCTCATGAGCTTGACGTCTTCCTGAAAGACTGAATGTGTTACGGCCAGAAAAAAGAATTATAACAAATGCCAGCCAAATTCATGCAAATGGCTTGTCAGGACAGGATATCTGTTTTTTTTTCCTCCGATTTAAAGTCTTGTCTATCAACTAGGTATTATCTTTTACAATAAGTAATAGCCTGATATAATGCATTAATAACTCGTGCTCTCGGTTACTAGTACTGGGAACCGGAGTCGCTGAAGGGGATTTTTCATCATTTCAATGCAGATGTGAAGAACAAAAGATTTATGGTGATATATTTCATATAGGGAATCCTCATAATTCAGTTAGAAGAAGAAATGGATCGTAACCGTGAACATGAACCTATGATATCCACATTCAGGTTCAATCTCTTCTGAAGCTTTATACCTTAAACCTAATTTCCTAGGCAAATGCAAAAGAGTTTCTTAGACCTCGAGAATTAATGCACCCTAACTAATAGCTCGCTACTCTGATGTGTGTGCAACAGTTTTTTGTGTTTTTCCGATATGAAACCTCCAATTTATTATACTTCACTATCAGACTCCTAATTTTAATTAAATTGCACTCCTATACCCTTAAAGTTAGTTGAAATTGAATTTGCAGTTTGGGTTCTGCTATGCTATTCCTGGTTGCTTATGACGTCTATCTCATAATACTGATGACAATTGGCCAATAAAACGGCAAAACTTCAATGGAAGTTCCTTAAGTACGGGTGCAGATAATCAGAAAAGGTCCCTAATGTTTGCTTTGTGATCATCACAGATCCTTTTCTAAACTCTCCGTTAAAAATTGCTTATGTGGCGGTTAAAGCTTTAACTTCTTGAAAATTGTTTGCTGATATGGCAGATTAAAAGTACTTTAGCGGGCTTATTTCAAAATATGAAATATGTACAGGATTAACATGGAAAATAACCAAAATTGAAGTTCCTCTTGTCATATTTTGAAATTAGTCAGTTTCGAGGGAAGTGGGAATTTTACTTTTGGACTTTTCCTATATTGATTCCCAAATCTTTCATATTTTGAAATTAGTCCCTCAAGTAACTTTAACTTGCCAATGCCACATCATCAAACAATTTTCAGAAATTAAAATTTTAGCTGCCACATCAGTTATTTTTAACGAAGAGTTCACAAAAGGACCCATGGTGAAGAGGGAACAAACATTAGGGACCGTCTTTGATGATTTATAACCATCAAGGACCTAGATGATGCTTGACCCATACTTAAAAAGGATTTCTACTGAAGTTTTGCCCAATAAAATTGTTATTTTACTTTGAATTCAACCCACCAAACTTCACTATTCCACCAACCCAAAACATTATTCCACCAACCCTTTTGAAGGCTATAAATGAGGAGAGTAGTGAAGGGTTAGAGCATTGAAGAGAAATTCAGAACAATGAGAAGAAAGAGAGATTTGAAGAGAAAAAGAAAAGAGAGTTTTCTTTGAGTGTTCTATTCTTCGTGTGAGTTTGACGAGACAATAGAGTGATCTTCTTTTATAATCTTCTCTTTTGTGATTAGTAAAATTCTCTGTTGTTCTCGCCCTTGGACGTAGGTCATACTGACCAAACACGTTAAATCCTTGTCTGTTGTTCTCTTTGTTTTCACTGTGTTTATTCAATGTTGCTATTCTCCACTCTTGTATAGACATCTTCTGTGTCTTTGAAGCCCATCGCTATAACAAACTGGTATCAGAGCCAGAGTTAGAGTGCATGTATCTACTTATCGTATGCTCTGTGTCTATCACTAAAAGTGGATCCGCCATATCGGAAAATAAGTTAGATTATCATTTACTCTTTAAATGCACTGGATACTATTCATGAGTACGGTACTATTCATAAGTATTGTTACTATTCACAAGTACAATTACTATTCATAAGTATCATTATTGTTTATAACTACTGTTACTGTTCTAGTGGGCTTCAAGATGTCTTTTGCAAAATACAAAGAGGAGAAATTCAATGGGAGAAACAACTTTAGTTTGTGAAGAGTAAAAATAAGGGCTCTCCTAGTACAACAAAGACTGTTTAAAGTCTTGTCCGGAAAGGATAAGTTACCGAATCTATGCCTGATGATGAGAAAGAAGAGCTCAAGATGAAGGCACATAGTGTCATACAGCTCTGTTTGGCCGATGAGGTCTTGCAAGAGGTTGCTAATGAAGATATCGCCGCCGGCTTGTGGCTCAAATTAGAGAGCTTGTACATGACGAAATCTCTAACGAAAAAGCTCTACTTGAAGCAACGCCTCTTCACCATTCTCATGAAAGAATGTATACAGATTAAAGACCATTTAGATGAACTTAACACTATTCTTATGGATTTAAAGAAAATTGATGTTAAAATTAATAAAGAAGATCAATCCCTTATTTTGTTATGTTCATTACCTCATTCCTATGATGTTAATAGCATGTTATATGGTAGAGACAGAATTTCTTTGGAGAATGTCAAATCTGCCTTACATTGAAAATGGTTAAGACAGAAAGTATCTGTCGTATGAGGAGAGGATCAAGTTGAAGACTTATTTGCTTGTGGTCGTCCTGAAAAGGTGATTGATAGTAGAGGAAAATCTAGAAATATGTCTAGATCAAAGTCCACACTAAGAAAAAATATTGAATATTATTACTGTAACAAGTATGGGCATATAAAACCTAATTATCCAACGCTCAAAGCAAAAGATATCACAGTTTAAGTCTGAAGAGGTGAAACATTCAGTTGCCACTGTAACTGAAGAGTCTTCTAGTTCACATGAAGTTCTTTTAGTTAGTATTAATACTCATTCAAAAGATGAGTGGGTTCTTGATTCGGGTTGTTCCTACCATATGTGTCCACATAAGGATTGATTTGTCGCATATCACTCTATCAATGGTGGAAATGTCTTGTTGGGGAATAACATGTCTTGCAAGACTATTTGTATCAGATCAATTAAGATTAGAACCCATGATTGTATTGTTAGAACATTGAGCAATGTCCGACATATACCAGAGTTAAAGAAGAACCTCATTTCTTTAGGCACCCTTGACTCAAATGGTTTTAAGTTTTCAGCTGAAGGTGGAGTTTTGAAAGTTAGTAAATACACTCTTATTGTGATGAAATGAAAGAAGGTAAATACTCTCTATGTCCTTGAAGGCAGCACAGTGACAGGTGCTTTAGCAGTATCATCCTCAAAGAATTCAGATTCTGACACCACACATTTGTGGCATATGCGGTTAGGGCATATGAGTGAGAGAGGACTAGATGTATTGAGCAAAGAAGATCTGCTTTGTGGTCATAAAACTATTACGTTAGACTTTTGTTAGTATTGTATTTTTGGCAAATACTATAGAGTCTCTTTTAGTACCGGTGTCTACAGAACCAAGGATACTTTATATTATATCCATTCAGATGTTTGGGATCTCTCTCAGGTTTCATCAAAAGGTAGAGCTCATTTTCTGCTAATATTGATTGATGATTATTCTAGAAAAATATGGGTGTATCATTTGAAGTATAAGAGTGATATGTTTGCAACCTTCAAGCAATGAAAGGTTATGATTGAGAAGTAAATAGGAAAGAAAGTGAAGCGTCTCAGAACCGATAATGTGATGGAGTTTTATTTCGCAAAGTTTGACCAATTCTGTAAGAATGAAGGTATTATACGTCATCGTACAGTTCGGCATACACCACAGCAAAATAGAGTTACAGAAAGGATGAATAGAATACTTTTAGAGAGCTCAGTGCATGCTCTCTAATGCCGATTTGTCAAAAGACTTTTGGGTTGAGGCAGTCAATAAAACTTGTTATTTGATAAACAAATCTCCTTCTACAACAATTAATTTTAAGACTCTAGAAGAGGTATGGTCTGGTGCCTCTACTAATTACTCTTATTTAAGAGTATTTGATTTTTCTGTTTATTTTTATGTTAATGATGATAAGCTTGAACTCAGAGTAAAGAAAGTTATTTTTCTAGGATATGCTACTGGGATGAAGGGATATAGATTGTGGTGCTCTGATCCTAAATTATCTAAGTTTATTATTAGTGGGGATGTTATTTTTGATAAGAAATCCATGCTTCACCCGAGAAAGGATTTTATTATTGATACCACTTGAACTGAAAATGAGTCTAGCAAGTAGGTGGAGCTAGATAGGTCATCTTCTAAGAGAGTGCTTGAGGGCGCTCATGTTGAACCAGTTGACATGCTTGCTTATGCAGACATGTTTACTTATGCTTTAAGTATAGCAGAGTCAATTGAGATTCCAGAGCCTTCTACCTATAAGGAGGCTATTAGTGGCAATGAGCCTATAAATTGGACTATTGAGATGAATGAAAAAATGGAGTCTCTTTACAAGAATCAGACATAGGAGTTAGTGAAGGCACCAAAGAAACAAAAGATCATTGGCTGTAAATGAGTGTTCAAGAAGAAAGAAGGAACTCTAGGCACAGATTCTGTAAGATACAAGGCACGCTTGGTAGCTAAAGGCTACAGTCAGACCGAAGGTGTGGACTTCAATGAAGTATTCTCTTCAATTGTAAAACCCATCTCAATCCGCGTGTTGCTTGCTATGTTTGCTCATTTTAATTTAGAGCTTAAGCAACTTGATGTGAAAATAACTTTTTTACATGACGAGCTTGAGGAGCAGATCTTTATGCATCAGCCAGAGGGGTTCATTATTGAAGATAAAGAAGATCATGTGTGCAGGTTGAAGAAATCTCTTTATGGTTTGAAACAATCTCCAAGATAGTGGTATTTGAGATTTGATACTTTCATGTTTGAGCATGGTTACTCTAGGAGTAAATATAATTGTTGTCTTTGTCATAAAAATCTTAATAATGGCTCTTTTGTGTATTTATTTTTTTATGTTGATGACATGTTGATTGCAGCTAAATATATATCAGAAATCAATGAGTTAAAATCTCAACTAAAGCATGAGTTTGAGATAAAGTACTTAGAAGCTACGAAGAAGATTATGGGAATGGAGATCCACAGGATAGGTGAGAATGAAGTTTATTTCTATCCCATGAGAAATAC